TTAAGTAAACATCTGTGTGATAGCAGCTTATATACAGTGCCTTCTGTAGCCAGCTGTTACAGTTAACAATTAAGTAAACATCTGTGTTAGCAGCTTGTATGCAGTGCCTTCTATAGCCAGCTGTTACAGTTAACACTTAAGTAAACATCTGTGTTAGCAGCTTGTATGCAGTGCCTTCTATAGCCAGCTGTTACAGTTAACAAGTAAACATCTGTGTGATAGCAGCTTGTATACAGTGCCTTTTATAGCCAGCTGTTACAGTTAACAATTAAGTAAACATCTGTGTGTTAGCAGCTTGTATACAGTGCCTTCTGTAGCTAGCTGGATCCCTTACGTTGGGGTTTTCTACCTTCCTCAGTTTCCTAAGCATATATGCTACCTCCCATCAAGTAAGGAACACTGATATTTTTGTTTCGATTTGTTTGTTTGCTTGTGGTCTGGGGATTAAACCCAAGACTCAGGCTAGACATGTGGTCCACCATTCATCCTTATCCCACTCTGAAGCTAGAGTAGTTACAGTGCCCTGCTTTGAAGCCTGTAGGTGTTCAACCAAGGTATTCACTGCCACACTGTTAGTGGTGACAGAAAAGATTCAGAGGGGGTCAGATAGGCAAATGCTAAATAAAAATTTATCCCCACCTTTTGTTACGGAATAGAGTGGTGATTAGAAAGGACCTGAATTCAGGTATGTGTACCTGAGCGTGTATGTGTGTGTGTGTGCACACACACTAATGCACCCACCAGGCCATAAGAGATCATCAGATACCCTGGAACTGGAGTTAAAGGTAGTTGTGATCTGTCATGTGCATGCTGGGTATCAAACCTGGGTCCTCTGTGAGAAAGCCAGTGCTCTTAACCTCGGCCACCTCTCCAACCCCAATCTGTTGAATTATAAACTTGATACATAGTGTTGGAGACTTTCAGGCAGATCCGTGACAGCATGCAGCCCTGGTTGCTTTGCTACCCTTTTCTGTTCTGGCTCTTCCAGACACTTTATCATAGTATGCCAAAAAATGTTCGTTTATAACTAGTATGTTAGCTTACTTTGGTGTATATTCTAAGTTCAGTCCAGTTAGTATTTTAACTAATATTTTTGTGCTGTTTCTTTTAATAATTGATCTCTTTGTTTTGTTTGTTTTCCAAGACAGGATCTCACTATGTAGAACTCACTCTGTAGACTACCTGCTCTCTGCTCCCAAGTGTGAGCTTAAAGGCAGGCACTGTTACACTCAGCTATTTTGCTTTTTCTTTTATTTTTATTAAATTGGTTGCTCTTTAAAACTGTTTTCAATTTAGGACAGGTAGAAAAGGTATAGTTACAGAGGCTTTTGCCATTTTGTGAAATTAAATTGATGCCCATTAACTAAAAGCCTGAGAATAATATCCATGGGACAAAGCCCCACCATTCAGAATTAGAATCTATGCTTGTATGTGTGTTTATAGTTTATCTAAATACCTGTGCAATGAACTCCCAGATATTTTAACTGTATAGTAAATCAACTTTGTATTAGAAGAAAACTTCATTTTCCCTCATAGCATTTTACAAACATTCAGTTTGAACATACCAGATATTTGAGATTTGAGAACATTTAAATCAAAGTCTTTTAAAGTATAACTATGTAAGCCAGGTGTGGTGGCACATGTCTTTAATCCCAGCGTTTGAAAAGCAGAGGTAGGCATAGCTCTGTGATTTCTAAGCCAGCCTGGTCTACAGAGTGAGCTGTGAGGCAGCCAGAACTACATAGTGAGATCCTCTCTCAAAAAAGACAAAAAGACAAAAAGTACAAACAAACGTAATCATTTAAACATTAAGGACACCTATTTTTTATAGACTGTAAGTCCGTGTGGGAAAAAAAAACACTTTAATAAAATACATTTTAGAATTAGAAAATATTGCTTATTTTTCTCTTTCTAACCTTACTAAGAATTTTTCTATTCCCATAAAGAATTTTAGTTCCTAGTTACTGGATATTTAAAATCATTAAGTCTGGGCCGTTAAGATGGCTCAGTGGGTCAAGGTGCTTGCTGCCAAGCATGACAGTCTGATACTGGATCCCAGGGACGCACTCAATGGAAGGAGAGAAACTGTTCCTACTAGTTGTCCTCCAGCCTCTGTTTGAATGCTATATACACATGCTCGAACACACATGGTTAATTAACTAAAAAATAAAGCCCTAAGACTAGTTCTTAAGGACTGAAAGGTCTAGACATATCTTTACCTATATTCACAGCCAACTTGAAACACCATAGAAAATACTAAGATATCTTTCAGTGCAGTTTATATTATTTAAATTTTCATGCTTCTTTTTTTTGTTTGTTTTTTGTTTTTGAGACAGGGTTTCTCTGTATAGCCCTGGCTGTCCTGGAACTCACTCTGTAGACCAGGCCGACCTCAAACTCAGAAATCTGCCTGCCTCTGCCTCCCATGTGCTGGGATTGAAGGCGTGCACCACCACTGCCCAGCAGTTTTCATGCTTCTTAAGTACTATATAAAATAAAAAACTTAAAATACTAAACCTTTCTTTGTAGTGGAGCTGATAGGTTAGGGTTTTCTTTTTATTTTAATAGCAGTAATAGTTTATTTTGAATATGCATATCACACGCTAATAGAGACAATTTGAAATAGTTGCACAGTTGCTAAAGGAGACATATCTCCTAGTTTATGTGAGTGAGAACACTAAAACCGAGGTTGAGTTATTTTCCTAAGGGCACGACTGGTCAGTGGAAAGATTCTAGTTGACCTTCATTTCTTCTTTTTATAATCAAGTGGTAGAATTTATAATAACTGTATAGTAGAGTTTTTAAATATATTTTACTCTTTTTGAAGTATAGCTTTACAGATAGTTTAAATAGCTAGTAAGCTACTCAAAGCCTTTTTTAAAATTCTCTCATAAGTTATATCCCAACCACAGTTTCCCTCCCTCCTCTCCTCCCAGGCCCCCTCCCCCTATCTCTCTCCTCCAGATCCACTCCTCCATTTCCCTTCAGAAAATGGCAGGCCTCTCAGGGATATCAACCAAACATGACATATCAAGGTCCAGTAAGACTAGGCAGCTCCCCTTATATTAAGGCTGGAAAAGGCAAAACAAAGGTCCCAAAAGCAGGCAGGAGAGTCAGAGGCAGCCCCTGTTCCTACTGTTAAGAGTCCTACAAGACCAAGCTACACAACTGTAACATACATACATACATACATACATACATACATACATACAGTGTATCTATGTGTATACACACACACACACACACACATATATGTGCATGCTCTGTGATTGTCAGTTTAGTGTCTGTGAGCCCTGGTTAGTTGATTCTTTGGATTATTTTCTTGTGGTGTCCTTGACTTCTCTGGCTCCTACAATCAGTTCTCTCCATTTTCCATGGGCTTCCTTCCCTGAGCTTCACATAACGTCTGGCTGTTCTCTCTGCATCTATTCCCATCAGTTGCTGGATAAAGCCTCTCTGCTAGGAGTTTTGTTTTTTCCTGTCCTAGGTCCCCTGGCTGTCCAGCCTCGGGTTTCTGGTCTTCCAGGCATTGTCCGTCATGGGCTCCCTCTCTTGGCATGAGTCTCAAGTTGGACCAGTCAGTCACTGGTTGGCCACTCTGACAATTTCTGCACCAGACTTTTCTCATTTTAAAAATCTCTTTTCATTCATTGTTTTTTTTTTTAATACCACCTCTTTGTACTAAATGGGCAAAAAAAAAATTGACATAACATAACTTTTCTTACAAGATTCCTGTGTGATTAGCAGTGTCAAGATCCATTCTGTCACCTAGTTCAGTCCTTCCTTCCTTCCTTCCTTCCTTCCTTCCTTCCTTCCTTCCTTCCTTCCTTCCTCCTTCTTTCCTATTTGCTTTCAAGACAGGGTTTCTCTGTGTAACAGAGCCCTGGATGTCCTGGACTTTCTTGGGTTACCTGCCTCTGCCTCCCAAGTACTAGGACTAAAGGCGTGCACCACCATGCCCTGTCTAGTTCAGACATTTCCTGACCCCATCTCAGTGGAGGGCAGCATCAAATGAAGATCACAGTCATAGGAAAAAGTCAGCGGTGATTCTCCCAAACTACAACTCTTTCTTCTCAAAGTGGTCCCTGTGTGACACTGTTGGGACTTACAGACTAATAACCAACAGAGTAATGAACACTAAAACAACAGTGCCCTGGGCAGACAGCGGCATCCCCCTGCATTGTAGATGTACCTGGAGGTATTGGGGGCCGATGTTACAATGGATCTTGTGTTTCCTTCCAAATAGGACAGATACGTAGGCAGGTCACAGTAGCTTTCTAGAACATTTAAGGTGGTAAGCACATCCTGTGACAGCATAAAGAAATCTAAAATGGTCTGCACTCCTTCAGAGAAGTCAGGGGAGTAGGACTGTAAGGCTTGGTCGCATAATAGGTGCTGAGTTTTCCCTCATGGAATCATGGGTAGTTTCATGGCAGCTCATCTCTTTCTGTTTGTTTCATATAGGGCTGATAGTTCAGGACCATTCAGACCCCATGTTCAGTTCCTATGCCTATAAATCCCACTACCTACTGAGTGAATCAAACCGTGCTGAGTTGATGAAATTACCTATGATTCCTTCTTCGTCAGCTTCCAAAAAGAGATGTGAGAAAGGTAATCATGACTAAAGAGTTTATCTCGTGTTTAATTTCTGCATTTTTCTTTTCTCTCTTTAAGTGGAGGGGGGATGTATGCCTGTCGAGCACTGCCTGTTGCTTTTGGTAGGTCCTGCCTTTGTGGTTATGACGCTGTCTTTGTATGGCTACGGAATTATCAAAAGGGCTTAAAATAATTCTATCATCACAGATTTTTACTTTTCTCCCTGACTCATTTTTTGCTATTCAAAGATGTAGGTTTTTAAAATACAAAGACTAGAATTTTATATAACATAAAAGGCTTCCTCATTTGCTTGATGTAGAACTATCATTCATGTTAGACTAGAATAGCCATGATACAGTTTGCCTTCCCCTTATAAGCTAAACAACTAGAAAGGCTATTTAGAAAGGCAAGGCAAGGCAGCAGATACTGGAAAAGATTGTTTCTAGAACATATTCTATGATTTTATTTCCTAAATGTGTACTTAAGATGCTATGAAAACAGGTGTCCTTCCCGTAGGAGGGAAGCTAGGTTTCAGGGCTACCCCAAATACTAGATGGTGAAAGGCAGCCCTGTCAAGAGTCCTGATGGATAGTTTATTCAGAAAAAAATAAGCTAAATTTATGTTCACACTCTGTCAAGCAGTGTCATTCCTGAAAGAAAAATCTTAACTGTGCTTAACTTGCCATAGCCTGCTTACAGTAAGGGGAAGGTGACTTCATGTTTGATTGGGGGATTATTATCCAGAGGAAGCATCAGTGAGCTTAGAAGGTATGGAGAGACCTTTTGCTTAATATATTCTTACTATGATCCACGCTCAGAATTAATAAAGAAAAAAATCACCATTCATACCTAATTTACTATGTATGAATATCAAAAAATAGGTTTTTATTAGTATGTGTTATGTGTGCTGCCTCTTTGATCTGTCCTTGCTCTTGTTGGCTCAAATGGCAACTAAGAACTGAAAGAAGAGCTATCTGGCGAGGTGGTAGAGCCCCCAGGAGACTGAGGGAGGCTGGCCTGTGGTCGGGTTATATGCTTTCTGCTGAGGTCAGCCTGCAAGGCCTTATTAGTGATGTGGTATGCTTCCAGAAGGTGGGCAGGGGCCTGCATTACTCCTCAAGATAGAATTAGTCTGACAGTACATTTATAAAATTAGATTAACTCAGTTGTTGCTTTGTTTCCAGCATTCAGTATTAACATTGACATCAATTGAAATTATTTTGAGCCCTCTACTTAGCTTGAATGATGTAGTTTTTCTCTTGTATCTGGAAAACATTTTTTTTTCCTGGTTTGTTGGTTTTGTTTTGTTTTGCATAGTGCAAGGTAGACCATTCATGTTTTTATCTTTCTGTATTACGAGCATTTCTATCATTACAGATTTCACTGATTCTGGCTCTGTGTTTCCTCTGAAATAAGACTGAACATTTAGAACCATTTACATCAACACTAAACATGACCAGCCCGGCTTCCAAGTGGTGCTAAGAATGACATCTCCTCTAAGGCTGTCTGCAAGGCAGGCCTCCCTCTTGCTCAGTCCTTTCTGATGGACTTAAACATATATGTAGAGCCTGGCGGTGGCAGCATACACCTTAAATCCCAGCACTCCAGAGGCAGAGGCAAGAGAATCTCTGTGAGGTGGAGGCTAGCCTGGTCTACTGAGCTAGTTCCAGGATAGCCAGGGCTACACAAAGAAACACTGTCTTGGAAAAAAAACAAGCAAAACAAAACAAATGCCCCAAAACATCCAAGCAGCTGGAAAATTGAACCATTAATCCCACTGATTCTGTAGTCAGGGGAAGACTGCTAATGTGAAGGCTGGCAGAGGAAATACAGTTCTCTGGTCCATCACTGGCGTGTTCAGGTTTCCTTTTTTCATGTAACAGTTGAGATTTGAAGGTGCCAGAAGACAAGATTTCTGGAAATCTTTAAAAGGTTGGAGCATGAGGTTTGGTCAAGTTATATAGAAGGCTATGAAGCTTTTGCCTGTGAGACTTTACATCTCTTTACCTGTTGTAGAACTGACTGGTCAGTGGAAATGTCCTTTGTCTTCAGTGGTGACCTTTCTGTTGCTTGTTGATATAGAAATACCTAACCCCTACCCCTCATTTTTATTTATTTGCATTCAAAGTGTTTTTCTGTTTGTTGCACATGTTTTGATTTCAAAGAGAGGGCTTAGTAGGAAGATGAAAGGACAGGCTTGTACATAATCATTCTGCACTGACAATTATGTAGTTTTGTGCTACAAAGCAGTGGTTCTCAAAACTGAGTCAGGAAAAAAAATAAAAATTCTAAGCATTTTTGGAAATTAAGAGAATTACACAATCATACAGTATGATACAGGGCTATGAGTTTATATTTGGCTATGACTTTAATTGTTCATCATGCTAATACTTGCTTTGCTTTTGGATCATAGTCTCCAGCAGTTATGTATTTCTTTGATCAATACAAAAAGGAGAGTTGGGCATGGTGTGCATGCCTGCAGTCCCAGCACTGGGGGACAGGCAGGAGGACCACTGATGGGAGGTGTGAGCTACATAGTGATATTCTGTCTCCAAAAAAGGGGGAGGGAAATTCTTCCTCTTGAAATGCAGGTTTCTGTTTGGTTGGTATGGTTTTGAAAATGTAGGTCACAGTTAAGAGAAAGGAACTGTGGTGAAGGGACAGTTACAGACCACTGCTGTATAGCCTGCTTGACTGCCTGTGGATTGGGAAGTAATGACACTGGAGCTGTGAGAATCTATGTCCACCTTTGTATTAGAAGAAAATAAGTACTAATCAACTATTAATTATTTTCATTCTTGGCTGATTTTATTATAAAAGGATTTAGTTAATTGTGGTAGTGGATTAAAATAAAAATAATTATTATTTTCTTTCCTAACTCTAAAGAACAAAAGAAAGCTATTTGTTTGAAAGCGTATTTTCAAATCTATGTGGGCTAACTAGGTTCTGTACCTCTTGTGATGTTTTAGCTAGCCGACACTGGGTTTCCTGGTTGATCATACTCTAAAGGAGTACGGGGTAGGTTTTTCCTACTCAAGAACTTTATGTTTCTAGCCACTGAAGTCTTTAAAACTAGCTGTTTCATTCGTTCGCTATTTTAATCCATCACTCTGGACATGACTCAGTCTCTTTGTTTCCCATTTGAATAAAGTCTAGTGTATTAAAAAGAGCCTTTTCTGTTTCTCGGTTACTAAAGCTGTCTGTCTGTTTTAAGGTGGAAGACTGCTCTGCTGTGACTCGTGCCCTGCTTCCTTCCACCCAGAATGCCTGAGCATAGACATGCCGGAAGGCTGCTGGAATTGCAATGACTGTAAAGCTGGCAAAAAACTGCATTACAAACAGATTGTTTGGGTCAAATTGGGAAATTACAGGCAAGTTTTCCAAGCACAAATAGAAAGCACTACTGTTGCGGTGAGGTTCAGGATCTGCACAGAGTGCAGTTAGCACGCAGGCAGAGAGACAAAAGGACGAAAGACAGTGGCGGTTGGTCTCAATTTTTAGGGGATGGCAAAGGTTACTTTGCTCTTGGGTCTTTGTTTTTGTTTGCTTGCTGCTTTCTTGGAGAGTGGGTGTTTTACTTTGCTTCGGTTCTGAGAATTATTTTATAGTGATGAATCATGCACTACTAAATTTGTCAATGAGAGGATTTACATAAAGAGTAGGGGTTTTGTTTTCTTTGTATCTTAGTTTTATACTTGTTTTTAATTTCTTTTTCTAAACATTTATTTATTTTGTGTATGAATGTTTTACAAGCCTGTATGTCTGTATGTCATGTGTGTGCTTGCCTACAAAGTCAGGTGTCAGATCCCCTGAAACTGAGTTACAGACAGCTTTGAACTGCCATATGAGTGCTGGAAATTGTCGCAGGTCTTCTGGAAGAGCAGTAAGTGCTTTAACCAGTGAGCCGTCTCTCCATGCCTTTCATTTCTAGTTCCTGATGAGATCAAGAGTTTATAGCCTTATCAAAATAGATCCATTCAAGTTTTTGTTCGTTTGTCTGTTATCAAGACAAGGTTTCTCTATCTAACAACCCTGAAACGATTTGTAGACAGGCTGTTATCAAACTAACAGAGATCTACCTGGCTCTGCCTCCAGAGTACTGAGATAAAAGACATATCCTGCCACACCCTGCTAGGTCAGTTTGGTTCTAAACCAGGCCCACTGTGTCCAAGTGGCTCTAAGCTATGTGCAAAGAGTACTTTTTTCTTCATATAGACTAAAGAGGAAGACTATTCTAATGAGAGCCACTTGTCTGCATCTGTTTATCATGTGGGGCCCTGCCAGTGCCACAGTGCAGTTTTAGAGGTCAGAGAACAGCTCTCAGGAATTGGGTCTCTCCTACTCGGGAGAAACTCAGGAGGTCAGTCTTGACAACAGCAGCTTTTCCCACTGAGCCACCTCACCGGCCCAAGCTGTCATTCTGAAAGGCATGAGAACGGGAGCTGCAGAGACGGATAAGAGCGCTTGCTGCTCTTTAGATGTGTGTTCAGTTCCCAGCATCCCTGTCGGGTGCATACAGCCTCCTGTCACCCCAGCTCAGGCCGTCAGACATTCTCTCCTGACCTCACCCATGCGCATATGCACACACCAAAATAAAAACATAACATCTAAAAAGAGAGAGATGAATATTATTTAAAAACATATTCCTTATGATAAGTTATTCCTCTGCCAATGAAATGAGCCAATCCAAGCCAGATGAGAGTGTATAGCAGGTTTATTGGGAAGCTGCTCTAGGGCCAGGTAAGTTGTCATGGGGAGGGGAGAGAGAGAGAAAGAGAGTAAGCAAGCAGGGAGAGAGAAAATGCAGAGAGGGGGAGAGAGGAGAAAGGAGAGAGGGAAGGAGAGACCAAATTGTCTGAATTATATAGGAAAGAGCCTTTGGGGGAGGGGAAGTTCAAGGCAGAGGGCAGGATATGCCCTGTAGCAGATCTGGACTGAGGGATGTTGGAAGAACCTGGAGGCCAGGTCCATCTTGGTATGTAAAATATGCACCTCAGCCTCTTGTCCTGGGTCTGAAACCCAACATGTTAAGGCTTTAATATGTTTGTTAATTTTTATTATTTTATGTATATGAGTGTTTTGCCTCTATATATGTCTGTGTGTTATGTACCCAGGGAGGCCAGAAGAGGTAGTTAGGTTCTCTGGAACTAGAGTTACAGATGATTGTGAACAGCCATGTGGGTGCTGGAAATGTAACTTGAGTTCTCTGGAAGAGCAGCCTGTGTTCTTAGCTGCCAGGCCATCTCCCCAGGCCCTCCTTTAAGATAAATAATAGCCTTGATATGTGCAATGATTGTTACTTAGAGGCAGGATCTCACTGTGTGGCTCTCTCTGGCCTGGACCATATGTAGTAGACTAGACGTCTACCAGACTGCCTCCAGAGTGCTGGTACACATGCCACCACATTCACCGTAACTACCAGACTGCCTCCAGAGTGCGGACACACATGCCACCACATTCACCGTAACTTGTTTTAAAGGTAGGGTCTCACTATATAACTCTGGCTGGCCTCAAACTTGGTGTCCAGACAAGGCTGGACACCCTCTGCCTCCTGAGTGCTGAGATTAAAGGCACATACCACCATATCAGAAATTCTATTGGAATTCTGAAGAAATATATTTCTAGATAATTGCAACCATATTGTAAAGTTTTTGCATGAAGAATTGAATTTAAAGAACATATTAAACATAAGCAGTATGCATCCTTTTTTTTTTTTTTTTTAGATAGGGCAGAATCTTCCTGGGCTAACCTCTTGACTTAGGTGATCCTCCTGCCCCAGCCTCTTAAGTGGGTGAGACCGCCATTGTTGGCACTGCTCCTTGCTTTGTTGTTGTAGGCTTTTTTGTTTTTTGTTTTTGTGGGTTTTTTAAAATGGAAGCTGGAGAAGTGTCTCAGCAATAAGAGCACTAACTGGCTTTGCAGTGGCACTGACAACTGTCTGTGACTTCAGTTCCTCAGGATTGAGGCCCTCTCTGACCTTTCTACACACCCAGTACACACAAAGGGCACATGCATATATGTAAGCAAAACACTGGAACACATAAAAACAAAACTTAGAAAGGTATTTGTATGTGTGTGTGTGTGTGTGTGTGTGTGTGTGTGTGTGTGTGTGTGTGCACTTTAAGTGTAGATCTGGATTCACACATGGGGACAGACTGACTCTCCAGGTTAGCCTGTAACTTGTGATGCTAGTATCTCAGCTTTCAAAGACTGAGATTAAAGGTGTACCCCCCACCCCACCCTGCTGTACAGTGTGTTCTTTACATGTGGGGAATACATCTAATGTTAATAGTCTCTGTGACAAGAGCATAGGGGAGATGCTTTTTCTGCTCACATCCTGTGTTTATTAATTAAGATGAATTGATTCTGGAATGCTAACTGACATAAAGCCTGGTGTATCAGGTCGAGAGGCATTTCCCCTGGTTGAAACTGCAGATTTGCATGTAGTACTTACTCTTTACTACTGCAGTGGTTTGTTCTCAGAAATAATCCCTTTGACTGCTAGAAACAATCCTTTATTCCTCAAAAGACAATCTTCTCTACCTGGGAAGATAGTGAGTACATCAAGTTTGGGAAAGTATGAATTTCCTACAGTTAAAATGGGCTGGAATCATATTCGTTAACATCCGAATTCCAGAGCTGGGAAATGGATCCATTGTCCTTCTCTTATTAAATGTTATAACTGATACGTTCATGATACGTATTTTATAATTTTTAAATGTTAATCTTTTTTTAAGATTTATTTATTTTATATATGAGTATGCTGTAGTTGTCCTTAGACACCAGAAGAGAGCATCGGATCCCATTACAGATGGTTGTGAGCCACCATGTGGTTGCTGGGAATTGAACTCAGGATCTATGGACGATCAGTCAGTGCTCTTAACCGCTGAGCCATCTTTCCAGCCCTAAATGTTAATCTTTTAAAGAAAGAAACCACAGAAAGCTGTTAGGGCCTACTTTGTTTAGCCTGTGTCCTCTATTTTGTTAATTCATCAATAGTTTTTTGTTGCAGTAGTGGTGGTTTTGGTAGGGGGTGGGGTTGGAGGGAGTGGGGTTGAGACAAAGTCTCACTAAGTAGCTCTTGCTGTCCTAGAAACTCACTCTATTGATCTGACTGGCCATGCGTTCACAGAGATTTACCTGTCCCTACCTGGGATTCAAGGCATGTAGCACCATGCCTGGCTCACTAAGTTTTTAAGTGATCAGGTTAATTACTATGTGTTTTAGAATTTGACCCCTTCTCTCCTTCTAGCCTGTGAAGAAGAGTGTGAGGTTTTCACTTTGTTGATTCTGTTCTCAGATGGTGGCCTGCAGAGATCTGCAGTCCCAGGTCTGTGCCGCTGAACATCCAGGGCCTTAAGCATGACGTGGGGGACTTCCCTGTGTTCTTCTTTGGGTCTCATGACTACTACTGGGTACACCAAGGCAGAGTGTTCCCTTATGTTGAAGGAGACAAAAACTTTGCTGAGGGACAGACTAGCATTAACAAGACCTTCAAAAAAGGTAAGTTGGACCATGAATACAGAGACTCAGAACTAATACCCAGGTGTGTATTTCTTATTTGCACATGAAGCTTCTGCCACTCAAGAATGTTTACCAGGCATTGGGATTTTACATCCAAAAACTTCCTCTGACATCAGGACCAGGTTTGAGATGCATAAAGCCTGGAGCACTGAGCTGTGTTTGAAGTTTCTTTTAGTCAGGTGAAACTCCTTTACCAAAAACAAGTAGGAAAGGCTTCCCAGGAAGACCTTAGGACTTTTGCAACATGACAGAAGTCTAGCTTTCTAAGTAAGGGTGAAATTAATTTAAATCTAGGACAGGGTACACAAATGCTCTTAATAGGGTCACTTAGAGGTCTTTGTCACTGATGTCAGACCTGTGCTCTGTACAAAGCATAGTATTTGATGTTAGTTTATTATTTCCTCTATAATGGTGGTGACTGGTGATTTCCAAAACATAATTTTAAAAAGTAAGCCTCCAGCCAGAGGCAGAGCATGTCTAGGGTGATAGAATTTAACTTCCCACCCTAACGATGTGTGCTGCATTTTGGTAACGACCTGCCTGCTCTTCTTGTCAGCACTGGAAGAAGCTGCAAAACGTTTCCAGGAGTTGAAAGCCCAGCGTGAAAGTAAGGAGGCTTTGGAGATGGAGAGAACCTCCAGAAAACCCCCTCCATACAAGCACATCAAGGTAAGCGCGCCGCCTGCTGCTTAGAGCCCCAGCCTGACAAGAATGCCCCCTGACAGTCACCCTCTCCTGGTGAAGCCAGAGGTTTCTATGGCCATACCACCTGGGAACTGTGACTCACGTGGGGTTCTGGTCTGTTTCTACCAGAGCACCCTGCAAGCAGACCAAGATATAGATCTTTAACCCTCCTTTTTGGCTGGGCGGTGGTGGTGCACGCCTTTAATCCCAGCACTTGGGAGGCAGAGGCAGGCGGATTTCTGAGTTCGAGAGTTCGAGGCTAGCCTGGTCTACAGAGTGAGTTCCAGGACAGCCAGGGCTACACAGAGAAACCCTGTCTTGAAAAACCAAAAAAAAAAAAAAAAAAAACCCTCCTTTTCCAGACTTCATAAATAGCTTATAGTTTCTTGATTTCAGGTATTAAACTTCATCAGCCCATGGCAAGTGAGAAGAAATAAGACTTAGCATCAAACTTCAACCGTTTGTCTAGTAAATAGACACAGTTACTGTTCCTAGTTTATTCTGGAGAAATGGTGATACAGAGCTTTCTGCAGCCATGTCACAGTGCTCGGATGTTTATCCACGCTGCTCACAGACCTCACCTCTCCATCCCCTCTCTTGCTCTCTTGTCTCCCAGGTCAACAAAGTCATAGGCAAGGTGCAGGTCCAGGTGGCTGACCTGTCGGAGATCCCCCGCTGTAACTGCAAGCCCGGGGATGAGAACCCATGCGGCCTGGAGTCGGAGTGTCTGAACAGAATGTCACAGTACGAGTGTCACCCGCAGGTGTGTCCTGCTGGGGACCGCTGTCAGAACCAGTGCTTTACAAAGAGGCTGTACCCCGATGCAGAGATCATCAAAACCGAGCGGAGAGGATGGGGCCTCAGAACCAAAAGAAGCATTAAAAAGGTAATGTGGTGGCCGCATGGCTGCTCCGTCTCTTAGGATGCATCAGGAGCATCATGACGTGGCTGTAAGGAGCATAGCTGCTTACAACAAAAGGTTGAGACTTCTCACGGGGTTTGCACTTGATGAGCGAGAAAAGAGTGGAAAGGATAACAGAATACACATCATCACTGTCATCTGATGAGCCTTAAATGGAAGGGGCATTGTATTTGATTTTTTTTTTTTTAAATTATTAAGTGAAATGATTCAAACATATTTTCTTGTTGTTGCTTTTTGTGGTGGATAAACATGTCAGAGAAGCACTATAATAAAGTTGATTACCCACCAGAGCAGAAACTGGCAAGCCCAGAACTTTGCTACAGCCTCAAGTCATTAGCCGTGAGTGTGATGGAATCACCAGATCACTGAGGTAGACTGTCACGACAGTCCATCGTGTGTAGTAGGAATCACCAGATCACTGAGGTAGACTGTCATGACAGTCCGTCGTGTGTAGTCGGAGCTCGGTGAGGCCTCAGATTATATGTGCAGGAGTGGTAGGAGCAGTTGAGAGACTATAACTCTATAACTTATTTTTATTTTCACACCTTGAGACAATTTTTTTCACAAGAATCTCCTAGTACAAGCAATATATACCAGTTGGAGAAATATTTTAAAGCCAAAGAGCTTAAAAGCAAAATTAAAATCTCTAGTAAACCCTATAATTCAATCAAATAGTGGGCCTCAGCTTTTAGAGTACCTGAGAATCTCCTGTGGCTCTTGTCAGGAAACCAACTGTGGGGAGGGTGGTGTGTGCCTTTAATCCTAGCCCTCGGAAGGCAGAGGCAGGCAGATCTCTGAGTTCAAGGCCAGCCTGATCTACATAATGAGTTCTAGGACAGCCAAGGCTAGATAGTGAGACCCTGTCTCAAAGGGAGGGAGGGAGGAGGAGAGGGAGGGAGGGAGGGAGGGAGGGAAGAAGGAAGGAACCAGGGGCTAGAGACATCAACAGTTTAAAAAAGCACTTGTTGCTCTTGCAGAGCACCTGAATTTTCCCAACCACATGCTAGCTAGCTCACAACCATTCATAACCCCAGTTCTAGGGCATCTGACGCCATCTTCTGACCTGGGCACCACCAGGCACATGTGATGCACATATATACATACATGCAGGCAAAGCATTCATATACAGAAAATGAGAAATAAATCTAAAAAGTGGGGAGGCCAGGGAGATGTGGTGGTGGTAAAGCATGCTTCCTGCTCTCACAGAGGACCTAAGACAACAAACTGAGCCTGCCCACTAGTGATGAAGACTGAGTGGTAACGGGGCATGAGCTGACATAGGTAGCCAAGAGCCAGGCCTAAAGCAGTCCTTTGGGCAAGAACTACTGGATGACTTTAGTAGGGTGGCTTACTGACATGACACACTGGTTCTCTATTACTGTATGGAAGTATTACCACAGAGCCGGGAACTTGAAACTGGCTGTGATGCCCACACTTGTTTTTATCACTTGAGAGGCTAAAGCAGGAGGATCACCAAGAACTTGATGCTGGCCTGGTCTAACCTTAAAAGTAAGACCCTTTCTCAAAAACAGAACCAGTTAGCAACTTAAGGGGCTCGAGAGGTGGCTCAGTGGTAGGAGCTCTGGCTGCTTTGACACAGGACCCAGGTTCAATGTGCAGCACCCAGCGTCCACATGGTGGCTCACAACCGTCTATAACTTAAGTCCCATGGGATCTAACACCGTCTTCTGGCCAACATGGGCACTAGACGTGCTCATGGTACAAGGACAACAAGCACACACAAGAGTTAACCGTGAAAACGTGATGCAAGTTTCATTATCACAGTTGACAGGGGTCATAGGTCAGGGTGTGCTCAGCTGGATCCTCATTTAGTATTGCAAGAAGTCAACCAAACTTGCATGCTTAGCTCACCCAGGGAAGGACCTACTTCCCAGCTTACCTGGTAGTTATAGAACTCCATTCTTTGTTGCTGTGGTATGAGGACTTGTGTTTTGAGATTTTTTTTCCCCCTCTTCCCTTATCCAATAATGACTCTTAACTTTCTGTGGCTTCCCCAGTTCCTTGCTATCTGAGGTTCCCATCAGAAGCATAAGAGAGACTCCACTTAGCATGACAGGCATGAGATCTTAGACAGAAGGTCTTGTTAGCCCATGCATGCCATCACTGTTCCACACCCTCAGAGGAGGGGTCACAGGATGAATGCCATGAATGAGAGACAGGATCTGGGGCAACCTTGAGGACCTGGCACATTTGGAGTTTAAGAGAACAATTTTGCCAGGAGAATGGAGGGTCCATGAGAAAGGAAAAGGTGCGAGGATGGAACCTGTTCTAGCAGTCCAGGAGAGTGACACGCACAAGGCCAGCAGGTGTGCACTACTGATACTTACTCACAGCCATCCTGTAATGAGAACTGAGGAGAATTTGTATATGGAGTGAATATCCGTGAAAATGCTAAGCACATGCATACTTATTTCTCAAGGTATTTATTTTCTCTGATGAGTTTGAAGTGCTGGTGAGTCTTACAGATGCCCTAGACTGGGTGAGCATGGCTTTCAAGTTAAAGAGGTCAGTGATGCTATAACTCCAAGGAGCTGACTAACTGCCTGGTATCACTCATGAGTTCATCACTAAAGACAACAATGACAATGCCCAGTTCTTTCAAGGATATAGAAGTCCCGGACCTCTTCTGCATTGGTAGTGGGAGTGAAAATGGAGCAGCCACTGTCAACACACACACACACACACACACACACACACGTACTGTACTATACAACAAATCTTCCTGCTAGCTATTTAAACCAGGAAAATGAAAATCTATAACCACATGAAAACTCTTCCCAAATGTGTACAGCAACTGTGTCTATAATAGCAAAAATGTAGAAAGACTGGCCAGTCTTCTTCCGTGGGTAAATAGTTAAACAAATGGTGGTACATCCACACTGAGGAGTCCTCCTGAGCCATTAAAGACAACTGAAACGTACAACTTAGGTGATCTGACAGTTACCGTTTTTTGTAATTTCACTTTATTTTTTAAGCTATCCCCATAGCTGTAGGGATGGCTTAGTCATTAAAGACACTTGCTACTCTTAAAGAGGACCCAGGTTTGAGTTGCAGCACCCACACAAAACTGTGTGAACTCCAGTTCTTGGGCATCTGAAACACTCTTCCAGCCTCTCTGGACACTGCAGTGCATTCGTGTGCACATACACATGAACACACACTCAGGCAAAATAGTCATACACATAAAATAAAAACAAATCCTTGATTATTTTATGTGTGACTGTTTTCTATTTGCATTATATGCCTGCTTAGTGCCTGCAGAGGTCAAATGAGGGCATCAGATCTCCTGCAGTAAAAACACATCTTTAGGAGCTGGAGAGATGGCCAAGCAGTTAAGAGCACTGACTGATCTTCTAGAGAACCATGTTCAGGTCCCAGCACCCACATGGCAGCTCAGAGCCATCTGTAACTCTAGTTCCAAGGGACCCAATGCCTTCTTCTGGCCTCAGAGGGCTTCAGGCATGCAAGTGGTGCACAGATTTACATGCAGGCAAAATATCCATACAATTAAAATAAGTAATTGAAAAAAAAAAACAAGTCTGGCAGTGGTGGCACACGCCTTTAATCCCAGCACTTGGGAGGCAGAGGCAGAGGCAGGCAGATTTCTGAGTTTGAGGCCAGCTTGGTCTACAGAGTGAGTTCCAGGACAGCCAGGGCTACACAGAGAAACCCTGTCTCAAAAAAAAAATCTGAAAAAAACAGTCTCAAAAGATTACATATTATATAAATGCGTTTATAGAACATCCTTGAATGGCAAAATTATACTGATGGATTAGTTTGGCAAGGGTTAGGGGCTGAGGTGATGGAGGGTAGGTGTGCCCATCAAAGAACATTGGAGACACCCTGTGCTGTCCATAAAATCTCAAATGTGGTTATGTGGTAACAGGACTCCCGTGTTTGCGTGAGTGAGTGAGTGTGTAAGTGCATGAATGCCTGACTGAGTGCTTGAGTGAGTAAGTGAGTGAGTGAGTAAGTAAGTGAGTGAGTGAGTGAGTGTCTGAGTGAGTTGAGTGCGTGAGTGCATGCGTGCCCACACCGGCTTCCTAGTGTTGGCACTGTTACAGTTCTGTGAGACCATTGGAGACCTCTGAGAGATCAGTAGAACACTGCATTTTCTTTAGCTTGCTATAAACATAATTACTTGATAATAAACAGCTTAGAGAGCAGAAGCATGCCCTATCTACCCTGTGTGTTTCAGAAGCATGCCCTATCTACCCTGTGTGTTTCAAGTCCAGAGCTTTTCCATTTCTTATCCCTAAATGCCACCATTCCTCAGCTACAAATTAGTAGGACTTTGTGAGGGTGGTATGATGATGGCTTCAAAAGTCAGGGTCAGCTTTACTCCAAGATCTAGGGACAAGCCACAGGGGCACCTTGGGAATATAGCAATGATGTCAGCAAGAAAGGGCAAGTGCACTGCTACCTTTGGAAGGGCAGCACAGGGTAGCCTGCCACCTACCTACCTGGGAATGAGGAGTCACCGTGTCTAGGGCTGAAGAGGGATTCCCAGGATCCCCTCCCTCCCTTCCTCCCTCCTTCCCTCCTTCCCTTCTTTCCTCCCTCCCTCCCTCCCTCCCTCCCTCCCTCCCCTCCCTCTCTCCTTCCTTTCTTTTCTCTTAGGTGTCAGGGCATGTGTGCTCTTGCCTATAGAAGTCAGGTGACAGTCTGGGTGTTGTTTCTGAGGTGCTTTCATGACTTTACTGTGTCTTAGTTAGCAAACTGGGGAGGAAAAGATTTGTTTTAGCTTACAGTTGTAGTCCACCATGAAAGGAGTTCAGGGCAAGAACTCAAGGCCTGAACTGAAGCAGAAACCAAGGTGCAGTCAACTTGCTTTGTTTGTTTTAAAGCTCTGGCTGTCTTGAAACTCTCACCAAGTGCTGGAATTAAAGGTGTATGCCACCATGACTGGGCAGCCTGCTTCCTTAGACCATCCAGGGACCACCCGCCCAGGGATGACCTCTCACAGTGAGCTGGGGCTCCCCATCAGTCACTAAGCAGAGAATACCTCCAGACTCAGCACCAGGCAATCTGATGGAGGCATTTTCTTATTCACGGTTCCTCCTCCCAGACAATTCAAGCTCCTGTTGAACTGACAGCAGGCCAGCTAGGACAAACCTGCTGTTTGACAGGCTTTCTCACTGCCTGGACCTTCTCTAAGCTGGCCAGTGAGTGTCACTGTCTCTAGGATTCCACAACAACATGGCATATGCCACCAAGCTTGGCCTCTTCCTTAGCTTCTGGGGCTCTGAGCTCAGCTCATCACATTTGTGAGGAGAATGTTTCACTGACTGAGCCATCTCACAGCTCTGTCTGAGAAAACGGGCATAGGCAGATGCACACATGCACACACGAGCCTGGTGACAGAACACTGCTCGTGCCCTCGTGCTTCACACCATCAAACTCAGTTACACACTAAGCCGCCCGCAGTCCTGGGCTTTTGTTGTTGTTAAGGCAAGATCTCATGTGCCCAGGCTGGCCTTGAAATCCACACAAGGGGGTCTTGAACTCGTGGTGCTCCTGTCGACACCTTCCCAGTGCTGGGGTTATAGAAACATGTGCTACCACACCCAGTTTATGTGCTGTTGGAAATTGAACCCATGGCCTTACATAAGTTAGGCAAGAATTCTGCTAATTGCATTACATTCCCAGCCCTTAGAAATGTTTTTGGTTAATTTTCTTGTTCACACATGTGGCGTTAGGATGTGCATTACAGCACAGCTGATAGTCCATATTAAATGCTTCTTTGCAGGGGGAGTTTGTAAATGAGTATGTCGGTGAACTGATTGATGAGGAAGAGTGCAGACTTCGAATCAAGCGAGCCCACGAGAACAGTGTAACTAATTTTTATATGTTAACTGTTACCAAGGTAAAATTGCTTTTATTTTTTGGTAAGAAAAAGGGACTTTTTATGTTTTGTTCATAATTTTATGTTGACTTCTGTTTCTGTTCTTTTCATTTTCTCTAAGTAAACTCTGATGATTTTAAGTAGTGGGTACTGTAATTATCTCAGGGGCACAGAAGGAACCCTCCTTAGTCAGGAGACTCCAGCAAGAGGGAAATGCTAAACAGAAACAAAGTGACCGTGTCAGGGGCAGTGGGAGACCTGGGCTCATTATCACTGCTGGAGAAACAACTATGATTCTGAGTTATAAAATACCTTGACATTTCTGATTAGCCAAAAGCTCAAAAATTTTCTCTGTATTTATTTAGCTTTAAAAAACCAATGACAAGAGGGTTGGGGAAGTGCCCCGGTGGTTGGGAGCCTTTGTTGCTCTTACAGAAAACCAGGGTTCAGCTCTGAGCTCCCACATGCTGGCACACAACAGTCGGGAACCTCATTCCCAGGGGACCTGATATCTCTTATCACTAAAGGCACCAGGGACTCAACGAGAGTCACATACCTACATGCAACACGCTCACACGTGTAAAACAAGTGACAGGAAAATAATGAATGTCGGCATAAGAAAAATGGAGGTAAACTCGTTTAAATCAAACTATAGCCAGGTGTTGTGGCACGTTCCTGTGCTCCCAGCGTTTGGGAGATTAAGGCAGGAGGATTGTAAGTTTTTAAGTTAGAGGCCAGCCTGGGCTACATAATTATGATCCTGTCTAAATAAAAGAGAACTAAACACAGAAAAAGAAACAACATCAGAGATGGTGTGTAGCCCTTAGACTGATCTGTATCTGCACGTCTCATCACAGCCTTATTTCTCAAAGCTGTCCGTACACAGACAGGAACCCCAGTCTAGGCACAGTTGTTTACTGGGCCTGTTATAAAGGACCACGATGTGTCCCTGTGCTCTCTGAGAGAGTCAGGATGTCATCCAGACTGAGGTGATGGCTCAGTGCTAAGCACGTGCTGGATGTATGTGAGGCTGTGGGTTTGAGCCTCATCACAAGCAAAAACACGTCAGAAAACCAACAAAACCATTGAAAGAGATGGTGGGCATGGTGGCACTCGCCTTTAATCCTAGCACTTTTGAGGCAGAGGCAAGCAGATCTCTGAGTTCAAGGACAGCCTGGTCTATATAGCAAGTTCTACACCAGCCAGAGCCACATTGTAAGATACTATCTCAAAAAAAAAGAAAGATATGACACATGAGGTTATGTCCTTATGTGAAAAGTTTACAGCTTGCACGTGTTTCACAGGGTAAACTCAGCTGCTGGGGTTCTGCTGTAGTCAGCGTCTTGAATCCTAGTCTTACTGAGCTCAGTGCAGTGACAACGTCCTGTGGATTCAGGCCTTGGCGCTCATCCACACTGTTAGAGTCCATACTGAGGGGCCTGACCATCTAGTGTTTTCAGTGTAGGTAACCCCTGAGAGAACACAGAGATGAAGGACTGTCACCTCCCACTCAGAGAGTCTCGTTGCCTTCTCTGTCCTCACGGCGTAAATTCGTCTACCCCACAGCAGGTTAACTGCTAGCTTACAGTGGGAGAGAAGCTGAGAAGGAGACGCCTGAGTCGTTGGTTATCTGAACTTTGTGATCAGAAATGCCTGAACACGTGACCTGCTGATCTTTATAACTTTAAAAAAAAAAACAACAACAAACAAACAAACACAAACCCTAAGTTCCTCAAAGAGAGAATGTGGTGACTCCATGGAGGAGCGTGTAGTCTTTTCAGAACTGACAGTTGGCACACACCAGCTGATGATAAATGACACTGTCTTGTTTCCTGACTGAATGTCTCTAAATGGGCTTGGATCTAGTTCATGTCAAACCCTCCACTCTCTCTCCCTCTGAAGGACCGGATAATCGATGCTGGGCCAAAGGGAAATTATTCTCGTTTCATGAATCATAGTTGTAATCCAAACTGTGAGACACAGAAGTGGACTGTCAATGGAGATGTTCGAGTCGGACTGTTTGCTCTCTGTGACATCCCTGCAGGTAACAGGGCAACTTGCTGCCAAGTTCATGGGGGAAGCCTGGAAGAACATTACCCTTTAAGGCCCGAGTGTTTATTCAGATCAGACAACTGGGGTTGTTTGCCAATGTGGTAAAACTCCATCTGAAGAGAAAACCTGTCTAGCCTTTATGCAGAAGAGAACAAGGTAGAGTCTGCCACAGGGCAATGCCTCAGAGGACCTGGTAGAGTCTGTCACAGTGCAGTGCCTCAGAGGACCTGGGAGAGTCTGCCACAGTGCAGTGCCTCAGAGGACCTGGGAGAGTCTGCCACAGTGCAGTGCCTCAGAGGACCTGGGAGAGTCTGCCACAGTGCAGTGCCTCAGAGGACCTGGTAGAGTCTGCCACAGGGCAATGCCTCAGAGGACCGGGGAGAGTCTGCCACAGGGCAGTACCTCAGTGCAGACAGGTCACTTCCCAAAATAGTGCTGTCTGCAGAACGGAACCAGATGGCCTAGCTCTTGTGCGCTTTTAAACATGTTAAAGGTAATTAGCTTATGGATGCTGGAGAGATGGCTCAGCGCTTGAGAGTCTATACTTGGTGCCCAGCATCCATGTGGGGTGGCTCACAACCACGTAGACTCCAGCTACAGGGAGTCAGACCCCTCTGCCTCCCGCAGGCACCCACACCCACTCACACGTACACATAATTACAGACAATCCAAGTAAATCTTTTTTTAAAAAAAGCAATTTGCTGTGTCCATATCAACTGGTTTCTTTTTCTTTCTTTAGTTCTCAACTCTGAAGAGCACTCTGTTTCAGATTAGACGCCAGAAGCCTCAGAGCTGTGCTGACTGCTCTCCTTTTCCTTCCACTGAGCATGTCAACAGAACCAGCTAGGTTTTCAAGTGTAGGGAATTGGTGAGGGCAGTTCACTAGCTGGGCACAGGCTGAAAGGCTGCTCGCACGCCTTTGCTCGGACCCCTGGGTCTTTCACCGTGTAGTGAGCTACAGTCGTGAACATGGATTGGTTCACAGTGGAAGACGTTCCTTCATCATTTTTGTTGTTGTTTTTGTTTTCGAGACAGGGTTTCTCTGTGTAGCCCTGGCTGTCCTGGAACTCACTCTGTAGACCAGGCTGGCCTCGAACTCAGAAATCCGCCTGCCTCTGCCTCCCAAGTGCTGGGATTAAAGGCGTGCACCACCACTGCCCAGCTAGTGGAAGGCATTCCTAACACTGGCCGACCTCACAGTCGTGCCTTAGAAACTGGAGCTTAGCGGTAGAACGAGGCGGCGAGGCTAAAAGCCCTTCTCGACCCTAGGTTCTTACTTCACTGTCTTTCATGTTTTGTTGAAGGGTTTTTCTTTTTAGAACACGTAGCTCTAGCATACTTGTTGGTGGGCAGGGACTGTTAACCGCACGACCCCTTTCTGTCGTTGCTTTCAGTGAGGTGGGGTGTGGAAGGAGAGTCTTTAACATTGTGTACGATGTGTGCATTTGTGTGTGCTTGTGAGCACAGGTGAGAACTCCTAGGCCTTGGCTCTCCTCTTCCACCGTGGGATCTGAATGCCACTCACACTGTCAGGCTTACGTGGCAAGTGCTTTCACCCCCTGGGCCGTCTTGCCATTCTGGGACCAGTCTTTGTCTCAGAACCCTGTGTCTGCGTGAAAGTGGTTGGCAGTGTTTCTTCCTCGTGACATCACTGTGGATCATTTTTTTTCTCTTGTGTTTTAGGGATGGAGCTAACATTTAATTATAACCTGGATTGTCTGGGCAATGGCAGGACAGTGTGTCACTGCGGAGCTGACAACTGCAGCGGTTTTCTGGGAGTGCGACCAAAGGTCGGTTGTACAGGGCACTGCACCCAAGGGCAGGAAAGGCGTGTGCTACAGGAGTGGGCTTAGGAACTGCTTGGCTTTGTCACAGGATTCCCACCGCTGCCCTGTCAGCTCTGTTTAATGGGGGTGGCTGTTTTGAGATGGATCTCTTGGAGCATAGGCTGGCCTTGAACTCCTGTGTTCTTGAAGATGACCTTGAATTCCTGACTCTTCTACCTTCCCCAAACTCTGGGATTCCAGGCGGGTCCACCACACCCAACTCTTCTGATAGGCTCTGAGATGTATAAAACACGGTGTAAACGGTGAATGTTACCCGAGTGTGGCGACTCAAATCCTAGCACTTGGGAGGAGGAAGATTACTGTTAATTCCATGATAGCCAAAAAACAAAAGAAAACCCTGCAGAATAAAAAGGTATCTGTTGTAGTAAATAAATTATAGATAGATCATGGGGGGGGCCTCAGGCTATCTGAGGTCTGAACAGAGATGAAGTCAAAGCAGCTTGCAGTTAAATCCACCATTCCAATTCCAAACAAACAAACAAACAAACAAACAAAGCAGCTCAACCATCAGGACTCTTCACTAAAGTGACATTGTCTTTAAAAACTCCATAGCTCACTGGGCAGTGGTGGCGCACGCCTTTAATCCCAGCACTTAGGAGGCAGAGGCAGGCAGATTTCTGAGTTCGAGGCCAGCCTGGTCTACAGAGTGAGTTCCAGGACAGCCAGGGCTACACAGAGAAACCCTGTCTCAAACAAACAAACAAACAAAAACTCCATAGCAGCCAGTGACAATCAGTGTGCTACCACCATGCTCAGGAAGCATGGGCAGCACTGGAAGTGCAGCTGCTTTGTTGAGATCGGCTCATGTCGGCTGGAGTGGCTCCAGTCTAGTGCCTCAGCGCTGAAGAGCAGGCTGAGGACCCACGCTCAGTTGCCAGCATCTGCGGCAGCCTCTTAGAACCAACCCTCTGTGACTGCAGCTCTGGGATGTCATGCTTCCTGCTTCTGTGAGCAGCTGCACGTAGACACACACACACACACACACACACACACACACACACTAAAGAGCAAATCATTAAAATCACTGGTGAATATCCAGAATGCCCCATTGTGGGGGCAGACAGCATGGGCTCCAAGCAAATCCGTCTGTCCCCCTGAGGGGTAGCTGTTGTGCTGATGGGCAAAAGCACCATGAAGTACAAAGCCACTAAGAGGATCTGGAGAACAACCAAGCTCTGGAGAAATGGTTGCCTCGTATGTGGGGCTGGGTGTGAAGGATGGCTTTATGTTCCCCAAGGAGGATTTCACAGAGGTCAGGGACCTACTGCTGCTTGTGCTGCTGCCATGGCCCTGTGTGAGGACAGTCTGCAGCCCGGAAGACTGGTTCGAGAAGACCACTTTCTTTTAGGCCTCTGGGGGTAATTTCACCACTGAAATTCACCAGTACTGTGCAGATGACAAAAGCTAGGCACAGTGGGAACTAGTGGAGCCCCACTGCTGAACATGCTGGCAGCTCCCCTCAGTCAGCCAGCAGGTGTTTGACCCTGGCCGACTTCTAACCCCTGAACAGAAAGAAGCGTGTGACATCACAGAGACTCCACCTGCGGTGTTGCCAGTGTCTGCCCAGTGATTCCCTAACACTTGCCTCCGTACCATTCTTTCATCTGTGGCTACTTAAGGGTCCCGACTTTCTGTGGTCCTCAGTTCACCTTCCCACGTGCTGAGAACATCGAGGCCTTCTTGCTGCTGCTCCTGCTGTGGCCAAGGCTAAAGAGTCATAGGAGGATAAGGACACGTGTTTCTTGACTAATTCCTCCAAGTACCCACCAACTCAGCCAGCTGAATTTGAGAAACATGTAAATGAAGGCCTCTGTCCCTCTCCCTCTCTCTTTAAAACAGCCTGTTTAAAAAAAGGGAGGGGGGAGAACTGGAGAAAAGATTTAAGTTATTAGGAGCACTCTCTGCTTTCAGAGGACCAGGGTTCAAATCCCAGTACCCACATGGCAGCTCACAGCTGTCTGTAACTCCAGTTCTAGGAGATACAGCTCCCTCATACAGACATATGCCAGTGAACATAAAATAAAAATAAATTATATATATATATATATATATATATATATATATATATATATATATATTTTGTTTGTTTGTTTTGTTTGTTTTTGTTTTTTGTTTTTCGAGACAGGGTTTCTCTGTGTAGCCCTGGCTGTCCTGTAACTCACTCTGTAGACCAGGCTGGCCTTGAACTCAGAAATTCACCTCCCTCTGCCTCCCAAGTGCTGGGATTAAAGGCATGCGCCACCACTGCCTGGCCCAATAAATTATATTTTAAAAATGATAGTGAAGATAAAGAGAGTGCTGTAGTTCTTATCCACTGCTGCCTTGTAGTGAACAAAATCCCAGATGAGCTTTGACAAGATGCTTCACTGTGGTGTCCTCTGGGGAAGCCCTTCTGCTGTCTCAGGACACAGGCAGAGCTGCACAGAAGGCTATGTGGTGTGCATTCCTTTTTGTGTAACGTGTCGTTGGCGTGATGTGATGTTAACCACTGTCTGTCTGTCTGTCTTCCCAGTCTGCATGCACATCAGCAGGCGACGAGAAGACAAGAAATGCCAAGTTAAAGAGACGACGGAAAGTCAAAGCAGAAGGCAAGCAGATCCACGAGGACTACTGCTTTCAGTGCGGGGATGGTGGAGAGCTGGTCATGTGTGACAAAAAGGACTGTCCCAAAGCATACCACCTCCTATGCCTTAACCTGACTCAGCCGCCCTACGGTAAGCGGGCGCGCAGGGCCTTCTCGGAGGCTGTGCTTGCCACAGAGTTGGGATACATTCCTCACTTCAATGCAACTGTGAAATCAGGAACATTTAACAGAACAAGCAGAACTACTCGTCAGAGCTTGGTTTCCATGCAAATGACCACACCTCATGTGGTAGCAAGGACACATTTCCTATATATGATCACCATAGGAGGGAGTTGGCTCCAATGGCATTGATTTGGGCCAGTAGCTCATATATGTATGAAAAAGCACTACGAGATATACATTTGGCTTAAGTTTGGAGTTGGATTCAACTCCAGAGTCTCTAAGCAAACAAGGTAGGGTATGAGCTAGGTGCAGTGGCACCCATTTTAATCCTAGCACTTGGGAGGCACAAGCAAGTGGATCTCTGGCAGTTCGAGGGCAGCCTACACTCTCTAGACAGACCTTGTTTCAAAATGGGGTCAATAGCACGTGCCTTTAATCCTAGCACTTAGGGAACAGGTAGCAGAACAGCCAGGCTACACAATGAGACCCTGTCTCCAAAAGGGGTGGGGTGGGGAGGGTACCTCTTGGGTTTCTTCCTGGGTAATCAAGAAATAGGCTAATAGATGCTTTTCCTCTCTTCTCACCCCACTCAGGAAAGTGGGAGTGCCCGTGGCATCGTTGTGACGAGTGTGGCAGTGCAGCCATTTCCTTCTGTGAATTCTGTCCACACTCCTTCTGTAAAGCACATGAAAAGGGGGCCCTGGTACCCTCTGCACTAGAAGGTCGCCTCTGCTGCTCCAGCCACGACCCCACATCTCCTGTGTCAGCGGAATACTGGAGCAAGATGAGATGTAAGTGGGAATCACAAGATCGTGGAGAAGACGTGAAGGAATGAGAGGTGGCGACTTCCTCCCCTACTACTTTCAGTACAAGAGGCACACTGAGGATTCTCGTGCGCTTGCTGTCAGACTGCCTTCCGACAGGGATGGGCGCCAGCTCACAGGCTAAAGCACTTGGTGGTGTCTGGTTTTTCTATTTTGTTGTTCTGGGGATAATTTTGTGGACAGCAAAATTCCTTTGGTCTTTTCTTGCCTTTTATTGTGCTTCAGTGTCTTTGCAATCAGCAAAAGAGGTGTCCTCACTTTTAGAGTTGAGAAAGAGAAAGTTAAAAGAAAGTTTTTGTCGCTGAGATCAGTGTAAAACCTAAGCTGTAATCCTGGGCTGTGTAAAGCGGAAGTAGCCCTTCCTGTATTTATTTTCATTTTTAGGAATTCTGAGAAATGTAGTTCAAACAGTCTAACCTCCGTGAGCATCTGTGCGTGCGTGTATGCGTGCGTGTATGCGTGCGTGTGTGCATGTGTGCGTGTGTGTTTTTGTGTGTGTGCCTGCACGCAGCACTTGTGCACGCATGCACTCGACTACCTTTATATACCTCTTTACTGAGCCATAGATTTGGCTAACTTCTCTTTCCTTTTTCACATGCCTTTTCTCGTGTCAGAGAAGGCTCTCAGCAAGTATTCAGACTGGCCTCTTGGAAACAAACTTCATGACAGCATTTACCTCCGTGGTCTTAAACTGGGTGGGCTTCATGGTGCGTCAATTCTACCTACAAATATCTAGTAGGGACAAGAAGTGAGTACATCCACTCATTGTGAAATGTCACCCATTCACAGATTTTCTGATACATTTGAGGGACGGGAAAGCACAGAAAAAATGCTCATTCCTGCTGTCCTGACCACTGGCAAGGGGCTAAAGAAAGATTAAGGCACAGACCAAAAGTTGGATCATATATACATCATTTTCTGACCAATTTAATGTAGATTCCAGTCTAACCTGGAGTTTGAGGGCATTTTATTTTCTGACTTTTTCTCTGCCAATCCTGTTTCCGTTGCCAGCTGGCTCCCACAGTCCTGTTTTCTGGTAACGCTCTGTAATGGAATCTGAGGTCTGTTTTAATAGACTTTTTCAGTTGCTTTCCTATCTTAGGGATGGGGCAAGTGAACAGAAACATCTCCAAGTTCTATGTGAATAATTTCTACCAAGTATTATGCAATACTTCAGATTGCCCCCACTGTGTAAGGGGAAGGACGCTCGCTTTCCAGGGTATGTAGGAGCCACAGTGACTCCATAGTAGAAAGCACTTGAGAACACTCCCGAAAAATCAGTGTTTGCAAGCATGGCTGTGACATTTCATAGTACAGACCCAACCATACCAAGGTGTCCGACCACAGAATTCACTTGCATCTAGCACTTAGGAATATATCTATTCCAGTATTACTTTTATGAAATCATATCAGACACAGTAACATGAGACTAAATAAAAGTCTAGTGTTACCATAAAACATGAACTTTCTCAGTGAGTTTCAACTGCTTACTGGTGGTACCCAGTAGGATTTATTCTCCTCAAAATCCTAGTACTTTACTAACGTAGGGTAGGAGATGCTCTACAGCATGGCTGTGTTAGGTGTGCTTCTTCCTTTTTTAATTTTTTACAAATCAATTCAGACCTCTTCTCTGGAAACGAAAGAGCAATTTTGTGCCTCTTTTTTAAATATATATAAATGTGCAATTTATAGGCAACAGACACTACAGTTCCCTCTCTAAGCTCCTAAACTGCCATCACCTAGTTGTAGCACTTGTAGTAATTTTGCTGGCTAGACAAGTTCCCGAGAGGGAGACAGGCTGGTACACAGCATCCAGCACAGTCACTACGACTGATGTGAAGCACAGCCCGCCCAAACACTAAACCTTACTCTTGAGCAATTATGAAGTTTGATGTCCTTTAAAAAAATAATGTAAGAGTACCTGGGTTTTATCATACTAAATTTTATTTTATACACACATGATAAAATTTTTACAATCACTGGTAAGGGACTTCCTTTGATATTCCAAATGTAACCCTTATGAGAACAATGTCCGATATGAGATTGTATCTTGTTTCCTTTTTTGACCTCATGCTTTTTAGTATCTGATAACTTTTATAGAGTAAGCCCTAGGGTGCATCATGTATTTATAAATACCTTACCCTGACCTATCTCTATTCTGCTTCTCTGGTATGCCATATTCGTTTTTCTATCTGTAAAAGAATTTTGCACTTTTCAGATCTTTTCTTACTAGATGACTAATAGGCTTGTTCCCAGAAGCTTTCATGCTCCAAACTTGCCCTTGCTATACCAGTGCAAGGGCATCTTCCTGTGCCATCGTGGCCTGTGTCTTAGAATTGAGGGTGAAGAAGACAGAAAGTTGGCCGACTGTGTGTGTGTGAGTGTACATACACCTTCCTTTCATGTCCTTTCATGACATTCCAGAAGGCACTATGCTTACTCAGTCTGAAGCTGGTAGTTGTTAGCTTTTAAATATGATTTTAGTATACAGTATTTATGGTTGATTTTATTCAGCCCAGAAATAAAGGACTTAAAGCAGCATGGGATAATAGTGGTATTTCTTAACCTCAGGAGGAAAGTTCTGATTATCATCGTAAAGCTTTAGAAGTTTGGCTGGAAAGAGCTAGAGATGGTAGCGTGAAGCCACCAAAGGCTGTGCCTTGGAGGCCTCGCTGGGCTGCCAGAGTAGCAGCCTGTGCCTGGCCCGCAGGACAGGCCCAGTGCTCGTCACTGCCCGTGTGCTGAAGCAGCTGCTGCTGAGTGCAGTCTCCAGTCAGGTGGAGACCAGAGTGGGGCAGGGTTTATCTTCACCTTTGCTTTGCAAGCCCTACCCTATTTTAATTCTCAGAAATTACCTTTCCTAAGCTGTAGAATAGACTGAGTTTTCTGTGTGTTATATAAATAACATTATATATGTGTATATATAATGTCTTATATGTATAAATGATATATATATATACATATATATATATATATATATATATATATATATA